TGATGCCCACCCAGACATGCTCCTGTTTAATGGGAATTTTCCTTTTCCTGCTCAGCTGGATCAACTGGAAGGGAATCCATGAGAAATTCAGGGATTCCAGCAGGCTGCTGGATGGGAATGTCCCATGTTGTAGCACCTCTTACACCCTCATATATTTGAATATATTGAATATTATTATTTTTACTCCTTCTTTCAAAGGAATGGGAATAACAGGGAGCTGCAGGAGTAGGAAATGTTGTGTTTGCTTGTGATGATGTTTGCCCTCACAGCCAGGCTCAAAATTGATCTTTTTGTACAACCAACTGGAATCTGTTGAATTCTTTCTCTGGGAAACCTCCCAGGAGTAACTCCAGAGTAGTTCTGCTCTCCAAAAATCAGCTTCTGAGCCAACAAACTCCTCAGTCCAGCCTGATGCCCACCCAGTTTAATGGGAATTTTCTTTTTCCTGCTCAGCTGGATCAACTGGAAGGGAATCCATGAGAAATTCAGGGATTCCAGCAGGCTGCTGGATGGGACTGTCCCATGTTGTAGCAAGTGTAAACATCCTACACTCTCATATATTTGAATATATTGAATATTATTATTCCTTCCTTCAGAGGAATGGGAATAACAGGGAGCTGCAGGAGTAGGAAATATTGTGTGCTTGTGATGAGTTTGCCCTCACAGCCAGGCTCAAAATTGGTCTTTTTTTACAACCAACTGGAATCAGTTGAATTCTTTCTCTGGGAAACCTCCCAGGAGTAACTCCTGAGTAGGAAATGTTGTGTTTGGTTGTGATGATGTTTGCCCTCACAGCCAGGCTCAAAATTGGTCTTTTTGTACAACCAACTGGGATCTGTTGAATTTTTGGGATTCTTACTCTGGGAACCTCCCAGGAGTAACTCCAGAGTAGTTCTGCTCTCCAAAAATCAACTTCTGAGCCAACAAACTCCTCACTCCAGCCTGATGCCCACCCAGTTTAATGGGAATTTTCCTTTGCCTGATCAACTGGAAGGGAATCCATGAGAAATTCAGGGATTCCAGCAGGCTGCTGGATGGGAATGTCCCATGTTGTAGCAAGTGTAAACATCCTACACTCTCAATATTTGAATATATTGAATATTTTTACTCCTTCCTTCAGAGGAATGGGAATAACAGGGAGCTGCAGGAGTAGGAAATGTTGTGTTTGCTTGTGATGAGTTTGCCCTCAGAGCCAGGCTCAAAGTTGGTCTTTGTGTACAACCAGCTGGGATCTGTTGAATTTTTGGGATTCTTATTCTGGGACACTTCCAGAGTTGTTCTGCTCTCCAAAAATCAGCTTCTAAGCCAACAAACTCCTCACTCCTGCCTGATGCCCACCCAGTTTAATGGGAATTTTCCTTTTCCTGATCAACTGGAGGGGAATCCATGAGAAACTCAGGGATTCCAGCAGGCTGCTGGATGGGACTGTCCCATGTTGTAGCAAGTGTAAACATCCTACACTCTCAGCTGTGAACTCGAGGTGGCTGGGAGAGGATTGTTTACGCCTTCTGCCATGGAGTGAACGTCTGGGAGCTGCATCTGCCCTCATCCCACTGCTCTGGGGAGCTCAGCAATTCTCATCCTGGAGTATTTGCATCCCAAAATCTCTGAAAATCATGGAATATCGTTGATCATGAGGGGTTTGTCTCTGCTGAGGTGAAAGGAGGCAGAGAAAGGGAGGCAGAGCAGAGCTTCTGGTTCTCCCCACAGCAGGGAATGTTTGTCAGCCTGGAAACGCTGGGTTTAAATGAATAACTCCAGGCACAACAGTGAGCATCAAATCATGGTTTAATTGACACCAGAGCTCGGTGAAAGGTGGGGAATGAGCTCAGGATGAGGGGTTGGGTGACAGAGGAGCCTCTGTCAGTTTGCATGGAATTCACCCATGAGGAAGTTCCATGGCTTTCAACTCTGATTCATTCCTTCCTCCACCTCAGTGGCGAGGTGCTGAGGGTTTTAAGGCTCATTATCCATTCTTTATTGGGAACACTCCTGATTTCCACAGAACAATGGAGCTTTTACCAGCTCACCCTGACTCTTGGAGTGTTCTGAGGGAAATGTTGAAGCACCTTTGCCAGGGGTTGTGTCTGGGGAGATGTTTGGCCATGGGGCAGGTGGGATCCATGTTCCCATCCCCATTCCTGATGTTTCCCTGCAGGAGGAGGTGCTCCAGGCACCTGATTTCCACAGCTCTGAACCACTGGCACTTTTACACATTACCCTGACTTGGTTGAAGTGTTCTGAGGGAGATGTTGAAGCTCCTTTGCCAGGGGTTGTGTCTGGGGAGATGTTTGGCCATGGGTGCCATGTTGCCATGCCCATTCCTGGTGTTTCCCTGCATGAGGAGGTGCACCAGGGCACCTGATTTCCACAGAGCTGAACAATGGAGCTCACCCTAACTGGGTTGAAGTGTTCTGAGGGAGATGTTGAAGCACTTTTGCCAGGGGTTGTGTCTGGGGAGATGTTTGGCCATGGGGCAGGTGGGATCCATGTTCCCATGCCCATTCCTGGTGTTTCCCTGCAGATGCACC